GGCGTGTCACTCCAAGCAGCCTCCCAAGCTTTCTCGAATTCCCCGACAGTGCATTGGTTGAGATCCTGGAAGGGCTCTGTTAGGAAGAGCACACTGTGACAGGGTTCTGGGGTGCTGGCTCCCCACCATTGCCTCGGGCTCCTTTAGAATGTCAAAAGCCAGTTTCTGTCCCCTTTAGTTCAGTTTTCTCCCCTGGCTCCTGGGTGCGTGTGCAAGACTCTGCTCTGGTAGTTCAGACCGGCGCGTGAGCAGAATCATCCTGGATTCTTGGCCTTGCCACACACTTCTAAGTGGTGTGGAACACATCACTCAGCCTTCCTACACAGTATACTGATATCTATGGAACGGGGCACAGGTAGGACTCTGGATGACTTCCTGATTCTGGACCTCCGTCCTGGGGTGCCTGTCCCCCTGGTTGAAGCCTGTGGCCCTGATGCTGAGGAGTTTCCAGGGCCCAGGGCAGTGCTGAGGAATCATTGTATGGGAGGCGTTTTCTCTAGGTAACGGCAGTCAGCCTTCTTGGTCTGTGTCCTTGAGGACCTCCCTTTGGGATCCTGAGACAAGATCAGTGGGACACAAGGGCAAAGTGTGGGAGTCCCCAGGACCACAGCATAGCAGACCAGGTTGGATGTGGGCGGGAGGGGGGCCTCTCTGGGTCCTGAGATAGGACGGAGACCGGTGGCAGGCCATGTGGTCTTCCAGTGAGTGCTCCCAGAGGAGGGCCAGGCCAGCGCCCTCCTCTGGCTGCTGTGGGTAAGGACAGCCTTGTATTGGGCGCTACATAAGTTAGTGACCCCCATGGGGATCTCTTGGCCTCACCCAGCAACACCATTAACGTAGGCCGCCATCAAGGATCTCTATGTCTGGAGGGTGCAGCTCAGCTGAATGGTGCCAGGTGCCAACCTCATGCTGATAAACCCTTATATTATCTCAGTTGATGCTCACAGTAACTTTGTGGGGAAAATATTGTTTATTCCCATTTGAAGGATGAGGGAGGTTAAGAGAGGCACAGAGAGGTTAAGTTCATTGTCAAGGGTACACAGGCACAACTTAAGCCCTGGTCTGTGTAATCCAGTACTTAACCATGAGGCATACCCAGCGTCTCACATGACGACTTTCCTTAGTGTGTATTAAATAGGGTTTCCTATATCAAACGTGTGTGTATAACCAGACCCTGTCCCTGAGGCATTTAGAATCTGGCAGAACTTGGGAAGCTAAGGAAGACAGTTTGGGGGACTGGAAAGAGCCCTGGTTGGGGACTCTGCCTCTGCCACTTGCTGGCTGTGTGACCTGAGCTAGTCATTCTCTTCTCTGAGCCTCAGTTTCTTCATCTGTAAAATGGGAATGATAAATGTAAAAGAAGTGATAAACGTAAAGAAACCCACTATTAATTGTCTAGTGCCGTAGAAAATACCCCCCTGCAGTACCTCCAGCTTTGTGTGATCCTCTTCCCCACCCCGGCCCTTAGTGACCTCGGCAAATTTGTGTGAGGTGAATATATGGGCACCGTTTAGCCCCACCATCTGGTTGACATTGTCTGGTTGAGACTGTTTGTGCTAAAAAAGGCAGAGAAGGGAAAAAGTGTTTCAGGAATGGGAGGGAGAGCTTCCTGGGGGAGGCATGGGTGCTGGTGACAGGAGCCGAGCCGAGCATTGCAGGGCAGGGTCTTCTGGGTGAGGAGGGAGCGGGTGGGGAGCCACAGGGACCAGGAGGAACCCAGTGAAGATTAGAGTGTCGCCGCTATTCACTGAATGCTTCCTACGGGCCAGACTGTCCCAAATGCTTCCCACGCTTGTCTTGTGTAATTCTCGCCAGTTCTGTAAGGCATCTGGTACTTCTGTTTCGAGATGGAAAAACTGAGGCTCAGAGAGATCAAGTGATTTGCCCAAGGTCATGCAGCTATTAAATGGCAACAATGGGATTCGAACTCACGAGGTCTCTGGCTTAAAAAGCACATGCTTGTAGTCAACTTACTCCTCCAGGTGAACAATGCAAAGCTTGTAGGCAGGAAGTGCCTTAAAATAATCAGCGAGGGACTCCTGCCTTTTGAGGTCACGGGGACCCCTGAGTGCTGGGCACCCAGTGACTCAACAGCAAGCCCTGGGGACAGTGCAGGGGGAGTTTCTCAGCAACCCCTTGACCAGGGAAGTGGCTGCTGAAGGGGAGTCCCATGCTGCTTTGCCCTGACCTCGGTCACTCCTGGGTTTCCCCGCTGGTATGTGCAGGAGCACTGGCCACTTACCAAGGGACACAACCACCCAGAGAGTTTCAGGGAAGGAAGTTCCAGATGCTAAAGCTTCTGTATGAAATTCTGGAGTAAAGATAATCTGTGAGCACTGCTGGAGGATGCCCCGGTCCCAGTGGCCTCTCTCCCATGTCACAGAGGAGAGGCTTGCCTGCCACCCATGCTGAATCCCACTGAGTTCGTCACCCCGGGTGTGTCGAAACCCTGTGAACACCAGCGGGAGCCCGAGCAACAGCTGGTTGCAGAGCAGCCTTCTTTGCTGACGAGTCGAGGCGTCTTAGACCGGTGGTTCTGCCGTTTTCTGTCTGTACGAATTTCTGCCACGGGAATGCTGGGTGCACAGTGGCACATTTTGAGTTCAGAGCGATGGAAGTAGGACAAGTTAATGACCGTGATTCTTTTAGTGTAACTGGAATTTCTCTGGACTTCTAAATTTAAGATACATGAGTAAGGCCCAAGATAAACATTTTCCTCACTTTCTTTCAGATTTTAGCACCTGTTATTCAATAAGATAGATATACACATTTTACCAAATCACATAATGAAACATTTATCCCAGTTATAGTCAGTCCTCATCATATAGACTGTTGAGTATTTTCTATTTCTTATGAACAAAATGTCACTTATCATAATGCTCTGGAGGACCATCTATGTTGTAGGAAATGGTGAGATTTCACTGTTTTGGGGTTTTTTTTATGGTCGAATAATATTCCATTGTATATATGTCCCATGGTTTCTTTAGCCATTCACTCACCAATGAACGCTAAGGTTGTTTCCATATCTTGGCTGTTGTAAATTATGCTGCCATGAACATGGGAGTGCATATATTTTTTCAAATTAGGGTTTTTGTGTTTTGGGGATAAATATGCAGAAATATTATTGCTGGATCATATGGTAATTCTACTTTCAGTTTTTCGAGGAACCTCCGTACCATTTTCCACAGTGGCTGCACCAGCCTGCATTCCCACCAGCAGGGTACAAGGGTTTCCTTTTCTCCACGGCTTCGCTGGCAGTTGTTGCTTCCAGTCTTTTTGATAAGTGTCATTCCAGCAGGTGTGAGGCGATTATCTCACTGGGGTTCTGATTTGCTTTTCCCTGATGGTGTCTCTTTCATCCTTTCAAGTACCTATTGGTGTCTCTGTCTTTTTTGGAAAAAAATCTATTCAGATCTCCTGGCTATTTTTTAATCAGATTGCTTGTTTGCTTTTTGCTATTAAGTTGTATGAGTTATTTATATATTTTGGATGTTATCCTCTTATGACATAGATGGTTTGCAAATATTTTTTCTCATTAAGTTGTCTTTTCATTTTGTTGGTGGTTTCCTTTGCTGGGCACAAGCTTTTTAGTTTGATGGAGTCCTGCATGTTTGTTTTCCATCTGGTGTCAGATGGAAAAAATCATTGTCGAGACCAGTGTCGGGGAGCTTACTGCCTATGTTTTCTTCTAGGATTTTTTGGTTTCAGGTATTATGTTCAAATCTTTAATTCATTTTGAGTTAATTTTTGTGTATGGTGTAAGGTTAACAATCCAGTTTCATTCTTTTGCATGTGGCTGTCTGGTTTTCCTAACACCATTTATTGAAGAGACTGTCCTTTTCCCATTTTATATTTTTGGCTCCTTTGTTATAAATTAGTCTCTGGGCTCTCTATTCTGTTCCATTGATGCATATGTCTGTTTTAATGCTAATATTGTACTGTTTTAATTACTGTAACTTTGTAATATAGTTTGAAATCAATGAGTGTGATGTCTCTATGCCCAATTCTTTTTAAAAACCTCTTTCTTGTAGTACCTTGTCAAACCAGCAAGAGTGACTAAGGCATGTAATTAAAATTCTGACTTCCACTCTCCTCGCTTAAAGGCATAAGCTCATTTAGTCCATCATCTACCCTCCAAGTTAATGCAGGTAGTATTGTTGTATTACCAAATACTTTACCACTGCATAATATAGGTCACTTCCTTCTAGCCTTTAGTAACAGTTTCCCTGACAACCACCAGGTGGCCCAAAGACAATGTATTTTTGTTACAGCTGTATACCACTTTTGATAGCCATTTCTGTATTAGTCAGGGTAAAGAGTTTATGCCCCAGTAACAAATAGCCCCAACTCTCAGACACTTATGATAAATAACAGTTTTTGTTTCCCTCATTCATGCTACGTATCTATCCTAATTAGCCATCTCTCTGCTCCATATCATCTCTACTCCAGAACCCAGGGTGGTGGAGTCGTCCCCATCTGGAACATTGCTCACTTTCTGGAGAAGGCCAAAGAGGACGTGGCGAATCAAACGCTGGCTCTTAAAGCTTCTTCCCAAGCTTAGTTAGTCAGAGCAGGAAAGTAGCTCATCCTGACATCAGTGGGGCAGGGAAATATAACCTTCCCCCAGGGAGGGACAGGAAGTATTGTAAACAGTGGTGTCATTTATCACATTATGATTTTTCATTTATATCCTGGAGACTCTGGAAAAGAGAGAAACAGCTGTTTTTATTATGGTGGCTTTGCCCAGAGCTGCCTACAGCTAGAGAAAGACAGGGTGACCTTTCAAAGACAGGGTGACCTTTCAAAATATTTTACAGACCTAGGCCTTTGATCATTATGCTGGTTGGCCCAAGCCCTGTAGCTTTGATGCACGAGAGTTATCTGTCGTTCCTTTTTCTCTGCCAGCCCTATGTCAGGATGACCCAGTGCCTCTGGGGCATTAGTAAGGCCATTTCTTGACCTCCAGCTTAAATCGGTCCATTTTAATTTTTTCTTCCCAGCTGTCTTTTGGGGAGACATAGCCCTAGATGAAGAAGACCTGAAGTTATTTCATATTGACAAGACCCAAGACTGGATCAAGCAGTCGGTGGCAGAAACGGGGCACCAGACAGGTAAGCACTGCATCTTCTTCTCCCTGTCTCCAGACGGAGGGGTCGGGGGCTCCTTCAGGGGTAGACATGCATCTTCTTCTCCCTGTCTCCAGACGGAGGGGTCGGGGGCTCCTTCAGGGGTAGACACGGGCTGCAAGTCATGCGCATTTGACCTGTCGGTCCAGTGCCCACCTGTCTGTGGAAAACCAGAGGCTGTGGAGCTGGAGCCTCCAAGTGCGCTGACCCTTCTAAGAAAATCTCGTTTGCCTGTTTATCTGAGGGTTCAGGTTTGAACTCAGCGTGTTCAGACTGGAGCTCAGCGAGGTTCTCAGGACTCTGGCCTCGGGGTCCAGCACTTCCCACCTGGAGAGGGTTCTGGATGGGATGCATTTAGGGCATGTCTGATGATGATGCTAATAATGATTAGCACTGGCAATATTTGTTTGGGGGTATCCTGCACTTGTGTGGCTGACAACATGGGTGGGCTTTCCGACTTTGATTACTGTCGCCCACTCTCCTTCCTTGCTTCCACCTTGGGGTGAATAGTAATGGGACCAATGCTTCCCCACTTCCCGCCCATTGAGCTCAGACACCCCGCTCCGTGGATTGGCCTTCTCAGAAGCAGCTTGGGGGGCTGAGCTGGGGGGGCTGGGGTGGCTGATGATGGCTTGCTTGTTCCTTGGTGGCTAAAGCTCATGTGTGCCTGATGCTACACAGTCTCTGCTGCCTGAGACCCCCCTCCCACCCTTTTTTCTTTTTCTTGGGGCTTTTTAAAAATTTTTATTTATTTATTTTTCGAGAGAGGGGAAGGGAAGGAGAAAGAGTGGGAGAGAAACATCAATGTGTGGTTGCCTCTTGTGAGTCCCCTGCTGGGAACTGGCCTGCAACCCAAGCATGTGCCCTGACTGGGAATTGATCCTCGATACTCTGGTTCGCAGGCCCGCACCCAATCCACTGAGCTACGCCAGCCAGGGCTTTTCTTGGGGCTTTTAAAAAATTACTGTAGTAAGGACATCGTGTAAGATCTACTCTCTTAACAAATTTTAAGGGTACGAAAAGTATTAGGAGCTGCAGACACAGTGTGGTACAGCACACATCTCCAGGACTTTTTCATCCTGTGTACCTGGTATGAATATACCCTTTTCTGACCGCCTGTCATGGGCCAAGTGCAGTTCTGGATAAAGAGAAGTAAGGTGTGACTTCTGCCTTCAAAGCCACCTTTCATGCCAGGCAGACAGAGGTTAGACCTGTACAAGCTCTCTAACAACTACAAGGTTCAGTTTACCTGTCTGTAAATTGGGGGTGAAACCAACACTCACTCCCCAAGGGGTTGGTAGGGTTGACTCCAAGGGTGGTGGCGCTGGGCACATACACGCTCCCGGGCAGTGGCAAACATTATCACCACACCCAGTCTAGTGGAACGAAGCCAAAATGTAAATAGCTAAGCTGTAATTCCTCCTGGAAAGTGCTGCAATGAACCAAGAGCAGTGGGAAGCGGGGAGAGTGAGTGGAGCAGCCTACCTAGGTGAGCCAAGGCATCATGGGAACGGGCGCTCTTTAGTTGTGTCTTGAAAAGTGAGTAGGAGTTCCTTTGGTGAACAATCAGGAGAAGGCATTTCAGGCAGGGGGGAAGCTACGTATGTAGCTTGTAAAGCCAGGGTATGAGGGGGGCCATCTTCATTCAGGGGGTAGATGAGAGGTGTGGTCGCTGGAGGGTGGCTCTTTGAGTGGGTTGTGGTAGAGGCATTTACCTGAGAAGGTTGGCTGGGGCAGATGGTGAAGGCACCCATTGGAGGGGGAGGTGGGACTGTGCCCACAGTGGGGGTAACGCCCATGAAGATCAATGCCTATTAAGTTAATCAGCCAGAACTTTCCCCTATGGGCTGGAAGGGTCCTGGAGTGGGATGTGACCTGCTCAGCTTTCACTTGACGTGACTCCAGTCAAGTCCTCTCTCCCACTGCTCTTCCCAGTCCACCAGCTGCCCTGAGGTTGCCACTGGGTCCTGGCTGGCAGCTTGGGCTGTCTCCCTACACTGCTTGCTCATGACGATGGTTGGGGAGGGCTTGTCAGGTACCCCCTTCCCCTGCTGCTGATGTACTTGGTGGCACCCAGAATATTCCTCATGACTTGGGTGCCTTGCAAGGCTCTGAGGTTCCACTAAAGCTGATTCACCAATTCTTCATTCCATCATTTCCTGGCACAAAAGGCCCTGCAATCTGTTATGTACTTGGGAGGGAATGAGGAGCATATGCTGTATTCCGATTTTTGGGTGTGGTCTTCATTCATTTCTCCATTGAATCATTCATTCATTGAAACCTCTATTGAGTGTCTGCTTTGTGCCAGGTCTTGTGTTAAATCCTGAGAAGGTTTGAAATGAGGTTTCTCTTCTTAAGAATTCACCAGCTAGTGGAGGAAATAGGTGCAGAAACCAAAAAGAGTGCCGAAGAGTTAGAGGCGATGCGAGGGAGGGATCCCATGAAGCACAGGGGCAGGGGGCCACCCAGGCCTGGGGACATTGCTGAGAAGGGGAGAGGCAGAAAGGCTTCCCAGAGAAGCGGGTCCTGGGGAGAGTGGGGAGTTGGCCAGGCTGAGGAGTAAGGAGTCAGAGCGCAGAGAAGGGTATTCCAGACAGAGGGAGGGCTTCTTCTCGGGGTGGGAGGGGGATGCTGGGAAATGGGGCAGCAGGTCACCACTGAGACCTGTGATTATGTGGCCTGATTCTTGCCCAGTGATTGCTTCTCTCTTTCTGCGGAGGGGGGAATGTGCCCAGAATGTGGGGGCTACTTGCATGGTCCATGAGGTCTGAGAGCAGCTACAGGGACAAGGCCAAGTACTGAGCTCCTGGCCGGCCACGGGGTTGGGGGTGGGTGGGGAAGAGCAAGAGGGCAAAGGCTGTCGTGAGGTCAGGGCCACCCGTGGCCAGTGGCTGGGAGGAGGGAGGAGCGGTCAGGCCCTTGTGAGCTCCTTTCTGGTGTCTGTTTCTATGATCGTCAGTCTTAGGGTTTGGGGGACCTCTTACTTGTGGTTTGAAAAGTTTATTCAAATTTTAAGTGGGGTTTGAGCAACCACATTAGTTTTTACACCAACATACACAAGTTTAACTGAGCTCTAACAAAGGGAAGCGCCTTTTCATAGCCCTGCTGCTGCAGCTAATCACAGACTTGCCCAGGTTCCTGCCTGGAGGCCCAGAGAAGTTGACCTGATTGTAGTCTTTATGTGCTTAAAATTATTTTTGACTTTTTTTCCCATTATTACTTAAAAATAGTGAACTTCACATACATCCATGTAAGCACCACCCAGACCAGGGGTGTGGCTCATTTCCAGAACCCCAGAGACCCCCTCGCGCCCCTCCCATCGGCGCCTGTCCTGCAGTCGCCGCTCATCTGCACTGCAGACCTGTTTACCTGCATAGAGGAGTCGCGCGGTGCGTGTTGCCACTGCCTGTCGCCACTCGGCGTTATACTGTGACGTCCCCCCACGTTGCTGAGTGAAGCAGTCGTTTGTTCTCTCTCGTTGTTGTGTGGCATTCCACTGTGTGAATGCAGTCGAGTGTGTTCATCCTTCTGTTCGCAGACATTTGGCAGTTCCCATTTTTGGCTATGATAGATACAGCTGCTACTGGCACGTACGTATCTTTGGGTGGACACAAGCCCTCGTTTCCACTGGGCATAGACCCAGGAGTGGGATTGCTGGGTCGTAGGATATGCATAAACTTAGCTCGGGTAGATACTGTCCAACAGATTTCCAAAGTGGTTGTACTGATTTACACTCTGTGTGGGTACACATTGATTCGGAAAGTGGGAAAGGGACCATGTAGGGACCCAATGAGGACTTCTGGGTCTTGGTCTGTGTGTCCTGGGGACTGCCGCACACTCTCTGGGCTAGCGCAGCAGTCAGTTGACACCCATCGACCATCAGAGAATGCTCAGGGTTGCCCCTGTCAGTGATCTTTGTGCTGTCCTTGGGGACCTGCCATGGCTCAGCACAGGGGCCCAGGCTTGGCAAGTGTGAGATGCCCCAGAGACGGGCCAGGCGCCGGCCCCCATACCAGCTGTGCTCCCAGCGGCTGGAGAGCTGTCTGTGCAGATTGCCTGAGGATGCTGCCGTGAAGGGAGGCCTAGCAGCCCTGCCTCTACCTCCCTCGGAGTCCTACCCCAGTGCTGACTTGGTCAGCCTTCTGCCTAAGAATTTGAGCGTCTGTCTTCTCTTTTCTTCTCCCCTGTGAGCTGAGAGCGGGCAGAGTCCCTCAGAGGTGGATCCCCTCTGATCCCCTAGAGGTGGCTCAGCTCCTTATACCTAGAAGGCACTGGCCAACAGTGGTGGAAAAGGGAGAAGGAGCAGATAGATGGAGACGGACCCTGGACCCACTTCCCCAGGGCCTAAGAGATGAAGAGGTCTAACAGGGCTTTGCTTTCAGAAGGGTGATTATAACACTGGTCACAATCATAGGCTTTCAATTCAGACTGCCTGGGCTTGAATCCTTGAGCTGGGCCTCAGTTTTTTCATCTGTCAAATGGGAATAGTAATGTTTTGAGGACAAAAAGAATATGAGTGAAATGCTTAGCATAGTGTCTGGCTCATAATAAATGCTCAGTGAAATCAACTCTGCCTCTTCCTTCTTATCATTATTATTAGTAGTAGTAGTGATAGTTGTAGTGGTATTTTTAAAAATATTTTTAATTGTTGTTCAATTACAGTTGTCCCCATTTTCCCCCATTACTCTCTCCTGCCCTACCCCTCCCCACCTCCCACCTTCAGTCCTCCCCCACCCCAGTGGTAGTAGGATTTGCAGGTAGACCCCAGACCTGAGGGGTTTAAAGTTGAAGTGGAGAATGGAAGATTGGGGGCTGGCACCTGAGGCCTTTGAAACGTGTTCCTTCCTTCCCAAGTCTGATATTATTTATTTTCCCAGTGTGTTTCTCTGCAAGGTAGTTTTTATCCTGATTACTTTTCTCTGAGAGCCAAGAGTACTTTGCATCTATCTAGAATAGTTCTTTTATTTCCAGAATGGGAATAGTTT